CTTCCAAATGCACATTGGTTCGTCCCTTCTCTATATTCCTGTCTTACTCTTTTGTATGGAGGCTTATGTTTTGGAATTTTTTTAATTGCCATAGGGAATTTTACCTCCTTACTAATGGTGAACAGAAAGTGGATTTTTAGTTGGTTAAAATTAAGGCTGTACCGATGTTACTGCTGGTATGGCACCATAGACACGCTTGCTATCTGCGTGTCAAGTTCCAAAGAAGCCCTTGTGGAACAAAGAAAAAGAGAAAAAATAGACTACGTGAACGGGCTTGGCAACTGATTCTCAACCGGAATGAGAAGAAATTGGGGCTGCTTTGATGGGCCATCGACGAATGGATGTCATTCTTGATAGTACGAGGCTTGATGAGCTTCATCACTCGTTGCAGAGGTCACGCCATCCCCTTATCAAAAGCGTGATATTATGAAAGACGAATTGATGTCCGCGACCCGGTCGAGGCGAGAAAAGATTGAATCCTGTATCTTATTAACCCACTTTGCCCCCAGGATGCATCGATACACTATCGATAGTTCAGGTCGATGCGTCAATGTTTAGAAATTGCCATTCCTGCCTTAAAGTATTTTTTAAAGTATCTGAGATGAGAATGAATCTGAATTGCATACTTTGACAGGTATGTTGAGTTTTAACTGTAAGAAAAGTTTAAACCGCACAATCAAAATGAAGAATGTGATATTATGTTCCCAAAAACCCACATATTCGTGACATCCTTCTCATGCCTACTTACCAGAGTAGCAGCCAGTTTCTGATGAACCGGACCGGTGGAGGGGGAAAGAAGGGGAGGGGGAGGGGGGAGGGGATAGGAGGGCGACACCTGAAAAGTTTGCGCACCACGGACATTAACCAAGAAAAATGCTTTTAGCTGAGGATCGCTCTATGAACGGACACACGGAGATCTTCAAGGAGAATTTATACCGGATTCCAAGGAGACACGATGCAAAATAGCGGTGGCCTTGACTATTGAAAATACGGGAAGAATTGACAGTCTTTCGGAAGACTTTCGGAAGACTTTCAAAAGGCGATGTAGAATTTTGGAAGAATATGGAGATTATGGAAAGATTCATGCATTCTTTTGAAAATGTCTATATTTAAGTAGGGAAAGACCTCCCATAGATGGAACGCTCGTTTTTTCGATTTTTTAAATTATTTTCATTGACACTCATGCTTTCACAGAACAGCCCCGGCCAGCACGGACCAAATAATCAACGGACGGAACGGAAACGTCCGGAGCCCAGAACACAGATCCAACGCCTTTTCTAAACAAGGTGTCACCTGCATCGTATGTCTACCGGAATACGAAACAGGATAAAAAGGCATTTCGCTTGCTTACGGAGGCCACATAAGATAGGCAACGCTTCGGTAGGAGAACGTGTTTTTAGGAATTCGCCGGGTGGGTCCAGAAGGAAATGCGAAGGTTCTCCGCTCACTACAATTACGTAACAAATTTACGAGTCCGGCGGACCACTCGAGTGGAGTGAAACCCAGAAAAAGGAATAAAAAGGGAGATGGGGGGAGGGAAATTACACTATATGAGGGAATTTCCCTCGTGTAATACAATTTTACCACCCATTATGAATGCAACAATTAGGAGGAAATGCGAAAGAGATTTGGTAATTGCTTTTCCTCTTCCTTCGAGTCTGGAAAAAGGAATGGAAAGAGCTTGAATCTACGCACCGCAGCGAAGCATTCGAGGGAATTTCTCTCATTCACCCGATAATAATATCGTCACGGTCGGGGAATGAAAAACATGCGACCCCGTTGGAGGTGATTCATCCCTGGCCTCTATTCGCAACCTCCGGCGCTCCGTGTCCGCTGGTGCCTTCCCTGCGACTCGACCGTGTGTCCTCCTCCCCTCTGCCGCAGTTCACGTCGAGACGGTGAAAAGCCTCCGAGCGGGACCCGAGAGAGACTCCATCCGAGAAGGCACCGGTCCCAGGGCGCCGGGACTCCGCTACTTCCTCCCGGATGCAGTGGATGAACTCGATCGTCGGCGAGTGAGAGAATAAACTCTTATTTTGTCGTCTATGAACTTCCCCTTGGGATCTTTTACCACCCGAACCCCACAACTGGCTGCGTGAGCACCGTAGCACCGTAACAAAATGCTTCACTTGATGGAACGTGGATCCGGTGGACATTCTTGAGAAAAATTTCCTGGTGGATCTCCCATTATGGAGTTCCACAGCAGTTCGTGTGCGTCGATCGTAGAATGCTTCTTTCGGGATTCCTGGAAAGTAAATGGACGAATTCCTGAAGAGGGAAAAGCATACGACATGGATGACGACATGTGTGCTTCCCATGAGGGGCAAAAGTACGCGTGCTTCATAAAAGAAACGTGCAGTAGTAGTTGGCAAATCCTTGCTTATCGTATACAAAAAGGGAAATTTCCCATGCCTTTCGAATATGATCGTGTTTTCATGCAATACTTGTGCAATACTCGACTGCGATCAGGAATGCAAAAATAAACTAATTTCGGGGGCTTCGCTCGGTTCAACGGGAAGAAGACCGTCCCAAAAAACTTCCTTCGCGAAGTCGAATATGTTATCACTTCCCATGGTGATGTCTTCTGATTGTTGATGTCTTCTGATTGATGATTTCTTCTGATTGCTGATGTCTTCTGATTGTCGATGCTTTTTCGTCAGCCACAAATCCCCCTCTAAGCGGGCAGCTCAGTTTTTGTTTGTCGTTCATATGAGCTGCCGAAGACATTTGTAAGGTAAGTACGGCATTTTACAGCTCATTCATTCCTCTTTCAACCGCCGCAAACCCCATTAAAGCACGCGGACCGCGTGGAGTGTAGCGCATTGTCGAAAACCGTCCGGGTTTTTCTTGGCCCTTCCCCGAACGCATCCAGCTGCCACGGCATGTCCTCATTCCACGGAATCACTCGACGCCCGAGAGTCACGGGCCGGCTGGGAAGAACGGTTAGAATTTTATCGGCGGCTTGGTCAAACGCATCTCCACCATTTAACACGAAAGGAAAAACTGCAATTCCTGGCAGTGAATGATACCTGCCATCGCGTCAGTCTCTCTATGATCGACCTTGAGAGAAACTTTGCGGGGGAGGGGAGGAGCTTGGCCCGGATCGAAGGTAGTCGGGTCTCTTCATCTCCGGAAAAATGGGTAGGCACTCTCACTATATAATTTGAACGAAGTGAAGAACGGAGATCTCATGAATGCATGTCTACTCGCGGGAAGTCCCCTCATTAGGGTATATCAATTAAGAAGGCAATCGCGGCGTCCGCCACTCGGCCAGTCGCCAAGAGACATCCGCATCAGGCGGGAGAAGTACGCAGACTCCTTGCCCGAATCGCTTCCTCTGGCGGACACATCGAGGCCTCAGTGACGCTTTGAAGACACACGGGGTATATTCCCGGTCGCGTCCGACGTGCGTCGTCTCTCCCCGATGCGACAGGCACGCGATCGGAAAGGTGAGTCCAGGCGTATTCCCAGCATTCAAAAACGCACCTATTTTTCCTGTCGAGGAATATTTTCTTCCCAAGGGAAAAGCCGAAAAATGAACTGTGTACTCTCTTTTGTATTTAAAAAAGAATATTTGGCTATGGCAGTATGACCAGGACGGACATCATTTGAGGGGAATTTCTCCATGATCTGAACAAAATTACAGATCCGGAAGCAAGGAATGCAAATTAAATAATTTAAGGTGCTTCGCTCGGTTCGACGGGACGAAGAGCGTCCTAAAAAATTCCTTTGCGAAGTTGGTAATGTCTTCTGATCGCTGATACTTTACCGTCAGCCACGAACCCCATTCTATTCTAAGCGGGAACATTTTTCCTTAAGGATTTCTTCAAGGAGAATGCATACCTGATTGAAAGGTGACACGATGCAGAAAGCGGATGGCTTCACTAATGAAGAAACGGAAAAAATTGGCAGTTCCCCCGAGACGGAAGACTCTCTCAAAGGCGACGTGGAATTATGGAGGAGAGTGAAGTTCTTAGAACAATACATTCTTTCACGGGAAATGTACGGAAATAACTTCCTTCCTCCGTCTGGGGAAAGATCTTTCCTCTGATTCCGTATTTCTTCCACACGTTCGCAGAGCGGCCTCGCCCAGCACGGAGCGAACACTCGACGGAGGGAACGGAAACGTCGCGAGGCCAGGGCATCCACCCGACGCGCCTTCTGGACACGGTATGTCGGCTGCATGGTATGTCGGCTGCATGGTATGTCGGCTGCATGGTATGACGGCTGCATGGGGTGTCTCGGAGGCATTTCACTCGCTTTCGAAGGCCACGCCAGATAGACGAGGCAAAATTAGAAAAAGGAATGAAAAGAGCCAGAACCTAATTTAGAAACTATTGAAGTGTAGTTTTACCTTCCCCTATAGCAGGTGTGGTCAAACTGTAGCTCCTGGAACATGCCAAAAATCGCAAAATCATCCATTTTACTGTAAGCTCCTGTCCGAAATTTCCTTCTTTCAATTAGGATGTAGGATGTCCTGTATGATGGAGGTTGGTCCATCCTACTTCCATGCAAGTCATTCGGCAAATATTGAATAATGCGTTTTGACCGTGGAAACCACCCGATGAAACCGAGGTGATGGGTTTCCGTGGGGACGCAAGTGGCTACGAACTCACGAGTCGCTCCGTATTTCGTTACGACAGTTTGAAGTTCTCAATTCACGGGAGCGGTGAGCAATGCGTCCGACCCCTTACAAGTACTGCGTGTGTCCATCCGGAAGATGGCGAGAAGAGAGTAAAACTCCCATTGACCCTGGAAGTTGCCTGGAAGTCCCTTTCGTGATGATCGAACCAGACCTCATGACCATAAACCCTAGGGTATTCTCCCATTCCATATGAAAATGACTTGTTATAGTCTCTCACAGGCACCATCAGAAACCTGAATTACGTCCGCAAGAAATGGATATACTCGTATAAGAGGAACGCGTATCATGTGCTTAATGCTGCCAGGGCGCTGACTCTCTCCTGAAAGTCTGAGACGGTTCCAACGATGGGGCAGAGATGACCAGTGTGAATGGGATCTTTCAGGGCCAGCGGTTTCTCCGAAGATCGACTTTGGGATGGCACAGAGGTCGGGGATCAGGAAAATACTCTGGTTCCTCATATTATGTGCAGCAATCTCGCTCAGCATAATTCAGGTTTTATCTCCCAACTCTCTTCTATAATCAGTAAGTTTATATGAAAATAAAACTTATTTCCAATTTTAAAAAAATATCGGATGTTGAGCAGGCGAAAGGGTTGATTGAATACTTCAGGAGCAATCCAACGGCCCAGACGATACGGATCGAGTCCCGCACCAGAGTGGAGTACCCTGAAATCACAATATGCCCAGGCGTCACGTGGAATTTCACCGCACTCAAGCTTACCAACGTGACCGGAGTTTCAGCTTACAACGCTATTTGGAGTGACTTGTTTCAGGAAAAGTTTAATATTGGCGTCTTGGAAGCACTGTATTTATATTCCTTGACGGACCTTTCCAAAATTGTGGTTCTATGCACTTTCCCCATCAATCCCCAAAATTACGAATATTATCGTTGTTCTCCTCGTGGTGGCTATACCTGGATAAATGGGAGCCGGGTCTATGAAACGGAAGGTATGTCCGGGAAACTTTCAATGTTTCTTTCATTTCCATGATTAACCTGTAAACAAGGGTATCGTAACATTTCACAGCGGGATACTGGAGAGAGACACGGATTGTTGATTGGAACCTCTCAAATTCCCCCCTGAAAATTTGCTTCACTTTCCATGTTAAATCAAAGCTCCGGATGCGACTTTCTTCCATTTCCCCTGTCATGGAATTTGCTTTGAGTTTCCAAGACTCCATCGATGAATCCGGCGACTTTGGCGAACCCTATTACGAGATCCGCATCGACTCGCCGGACGAACCGTTCACAGCAGTGAGGAATGTGACATCCTCAGGGAAGACCTTCTTCCTCTTGGGCGAAAGGAGTTACATGCTGAGCCTCTCTCTCAAGTACTACGAATTCTTGCCTTCAGGAAGTAAGTGCAATGGGGACGAGGAATACGACTACAAGAAGGTAATTCTAGCCCAACCCTATCAGCTCTTCCGTCCCCTATCATTTCTTGAAAAGTTCACCAAGTACACACGAATTGTGAACCGACAGTGTTTGGAAGCAGCATTATTGGAGTTCATGAATGGAGCCCCGTGTATCAATCCGTTTGTGTTACCAATCCAACACGAGCAAGCATCAATGATGCGCCTTTGCAACACTTCCCAAGACTATAGAGAATTTATCAACTTTCACGATGACGTGCATGAAAATTTTGATCCTGGATGTCCGAGGAAATGCAAGAGGATAACGTATAACGCCATCCAACTCGATGATCCAGATATTCCTCCTCCACATCACGGCATGATCAAGTTGAATACTCCCACAGCCGAAGTGAGTTGCTCGCGCTGAAAAAATCCTAAGAAACCTTTCTTCTATTCTGTGGAAACAAAGAGCAACTCTCAACAATTGCTCTACGGCATTCTCAAATGACCTTGATAGTGAAGGTTACCAATCGAAAGTCCATGCATCCGAAAGAAAAAATCCGTATTTTAATGCGTTTCAGGTTGAGATAGTAGAAGAGCATGAGCTGACATCGCTGGAACAGTTTCTCTCCAACATCGGGGGAATGGTCGCGCTCTACTTGGGAATCTCTTTCATCGGTCTCTACGAATGCTTGGAAATTTTTGCCGTGTGGGTAATGTCCCGATTCGTCAAAGCTCAGTTTCCACCCGTACATGTATGAATTAGATGAGGTTAAAAGTATGGAAGGACATCAACTCCCTGGTATGACTGTCGTGCAAGGAGTAATAAGAACATCTGGAATCCAAACAGTTCACCCTTTCTTTTATTTTCCGGTATTTTTAGCCTGAAACGACGGCAGAATAAGCTGAAATTGCTGCCAGTTTCGTGTGTGAGATGTGGTAAGGTCAAAGACCTTCCGTCACACGTTTCTCGTCTGTACATATGTCGGATATTCAATGGCAACTCCAAAAGTCGGACTGGCTAACGTTTCCACCTATCACAAATCGGAATTTCTCAATGAAACTGAAATATATATTTCAGTGAACGATTGGAAAGTTGTTTGATTCGCATTCTTTCGCAGTTTTCACCTTTAAATTCGTTGTAACGGACTCATGTTGCATTTCTATGGATGCCTGCTATGGGTTTCCAATGGACTCGACGGCTTTCCCATGAGATTTAGACGCAATCTTCGATTCGAGTCCATCTCGTGATGCCGGATTTCACAGGATGAACAACTGGACACATTTCCCTTTCCTCCAGGAAATTTTTCCTCCCAAGAGACAAGCCGGTGTCCAGATGGAACTAATCACTTTCATATTCTGTTGATCTTAAACAAATTCGACTTTCGATGAAGCCGAAAATCTTAGGAGTTAATTTTTATCGGTGGAAATTTTTTATGGGAATTTTTTTCCTCCAGAAAATCAAGCAGAAATATGTGAAAATTAGCACTGAATTAGCTATTGTGATGTTAACTTGAACAGAAGTCTCCTTGAGAGGTGTCAGGTCAAAATTGTTGTGTTTCACCGCTTTTTCTGGAGCCATTTTTGTTTCAGAAAAAACAAGTGAATACGGAAAGCAGTAATTTCGTGAAATTCTTCTTAAAAAGAAATATATATTATATATGACTTTGAGGTACATTCCTTGAGGGCAATTTTTTTGGTGCACAGGTAATTCCAGGTATTATCGCTCTAACCGAGGGGGGGGGGGGGGGCTCTAGTGAGCTAAAATTAGGCACGCAATAAATTATCAGCCTAATTATTTCAATGAAGACATTATTCTGGAAACAGGTTCCTCTTAGAGCCTCTGTTGGATAGATGTTTTTTTAAGGAAAAAAATATCCGTTAACACTAAACGAGGAGACGTGGAAAACTTATCCTCATTGCGTTTTGAGTATGGAAAGTGAGAACTCAAAAGAAGAAAGAACTCGATACCCGGGGAACATCACAGTCTTGTGATGAAATTCTTGCGATATCTATTCGTAATATATCTGAGGAATTCTCTTCAAAGCGATGAAATACATTAGACAAAAGTAACTTTCGCCCTGTTCCCAAAAAAACGGAGAGGCATGGATGACCAAAAAGTTGGTACACAGGTGCTTGTTGAGATGCACTCCATCCTGCGGTGGTGCGTCCTCTTTACGAGGAATCACTTTGCACGCGAGCGTCTTGGGCTTGCTGGGGGAAATCGTTTAGAATCAGCGGCTTGGTCCAGATCGAACATTGGTCCAAATTGAACATGTAAGACATTGCGTTCCAGACATTTTACCCAGTCGATCCGCCGCTCTGACCTCTCTCAGTTACCTCAGTCTAATGCTGGATGTCAACGAGGCTATGACTTTTTCGGCCATTGGGTTCGCAAAAGGACTCGCAAAGGAACTTAAAAAAATTGAGATCTCCATGTGCGGTACGCAAAGTGTTAACATTAAGGAAACACTGCAATATTTTTCTGCGAAAGACTACTTTCAGCACGTCAGTTTCTCCACAATTCGTCGTGACAGAAAGTGGGGTGAGGGTTTGTCCCGGATTGATGGGAGTCGGGTCGCATCATCTTTGAAAACTGGGAGGAAGTTCAGCCCATTTAAAAATTTGACAGTGTGATAAACGTAGGTGTCATACAAGTCCGCCCAATACGAACAATCATCGTGTTACGTGAGGATTTGATTTTAATGCAATATGCCTGATTCCAGCTCGTAATGTTGCGGGAGAAACCATAATTAAATTATTAAAATGTTGCGAAACTACAAAAGATGATTGAGAGCAGTATGTTTTTGCTCATAACTACATAGGTTGGGCAATCACAATAGGTCGATGCATCGATTCCCCTATCGATGGATCAAGGAATCGACAGTTTCTTCGATCATCACGATGTATTGGCAACATTTTTGAAGGGGAAACACCTCATCGAATTGAGACTAGTAGAGTATAGTCCGCCCTGCCCATGTAACACACTGACGTGACAGAGCTGTTTCAAAGCAAAAATGTTGTGTGAATGTAGTATGCTGTCACCCTGATGTTTTGACAATGTTGTCATCCTGTCTTCACCACAAAATGACTAAAAGTCACAGAAAAAGAACATGTTTAGAAATTAACAAGAAACAATTCTAATGAAGTTGTAACATTTTCGGGTCCTCTGAAGATATTTTAATTAGCAGAACAAATGGGATGCTGTGGTTACATTGTGGAAAACATTGTTACAACATTTGATTGTCCTTTTATACGATGCCGTAGCAACATCTTCCTATAACGTTGTGACAACGAATTCTTCCTGCCGTTGACAACGTTTTGACATTATTTCTGAAGTAATACCCTCACTATCTAATAGGTTCATCCGATCGGCGCCAGATGGCATCTCAACGCCGCTCTAGCGCATCTCCCTTTCATGTACCGGAAATGAGTTCCCTATATTTTTATTTCGGTAACTGGTCTTTCCCCACGTAAAACTTGGGGAAATGTTTTGGAATTCCTTGATAGACCCAATTATATGAGTTGCACAGCGGAAGGTGACCCCTAGTGCTACCTGCATTCAGGTCGAAAGGAAACATGAAAAATGTCCTAATTCACTCCATGGCGGAAACTGTCTTCGAAGCTCTGATTTATCTAGGTAATGCAAAGGATCATAAATATTACTGAGGGGCTGTCTCTCTATATCTCTTGAGGAAAAAGTGAGTATATCATGAGGTGAATCACCCTTTCAGTGTTGCCTCGAGTAAATACTCGTCATGCGGCTGTGCACTTGCCAGCATTAGCATGGCAGGCAGATGCAAGTATCAATGTAGGGTGTGTGTATTATTATTTACAATCCATTCTGCCACAATAATCACTTCTCACATTATGCGGTCACGATGTTGTTACGACAGAAGGGAAAGGTTTTCACGACGTTTTGAGAAAATGTTATAACAATATGAAGTAAAATAAAATGTAGATGTGACAACGTTATCTACAACTTAATCACAACGTTCTATTTGTTGTGGTAAAGCATTTCCACAACGTTGTCACAACATATGTGTGTCACCTGGGAGGTGATGGGAATGACGAGGGGACGTGACACGCATGGGCTTCCTATTTATTTTCAAATTATGGAAATGGTGGGACTGCCTAAATAAAAGACGGGAAGGAACATAAACATTTGGAATTAGAGAAAAGTTGTGAGGGAGATGGAGGGCAGAAAATATGTATCTCTTCTATTTCAATCTTCGCCTCGATCTCATTAGGTGCGTGCTATGAATGTGGACTGGTCTTCTCCTTTCGCTTCCAAATGCACAATGGTTTACTCCCCTCTCTATATTCCTTTCTTTCTCTTCAGTATGCAGGTTTTGGAATTTTGTTATTGCTCTGGGGGAATATTACCTCCTTACTAGTGAACCTAAAGTGGCTCGTTTAAAATTATGTCTTTATCAATGTTACTGGGCTGATATGGGACTATCAACAGGCTTGTCATCTGTTGGTGTCAATGTCCAAAGAAGCCTTTGTGGAGCAAAGAAAAAATGAAAATATGAACTACACGAACGGGCTTGGCAACTGATTCTCAACGGCAATAAGAATACATTTTGGCTGACCCATGGGTAGCTACCAAAGTGTTTCTTGCTCCAGGGAAGCAGTACTATCTTTCAGTTTAAAGAAGGTACTGCAGACTGGTACTACTGTACCAGCAGGATAATGGCTCAAGCCACAAGCCAAAGGCACAGTTCATTGGTGCAAGTGCAATTTTCCCCGTCTTATAACCCCTGACGAATGCCCAGCTTTCAGCCCAGACCACTCGACTACAGCATCGAGGTGCTTCTACAGGACCGTGTGGGCTACAAATCGTACAGATCGGTTGCAAGCTTGCAGCTAGCTTTGAGGTCTGCCTGGAAGAAAATAACCGTTGAGGAATTGTGTTATACTATGGACAACTTTCCTAAACGTTTGAGGGTCGTAATTCAAGAAAAAGGAGCCCATCATTAATAATGAGAAATGTATTTTGTAGGATTTTCAAAGTTCTTTTGAATGACATAAAGCAGCCATATTAACCTCTTTCTTTGAAAGAGAAATTACAGTTTTAGTGATTTGCAGGACTTTTGTGCCACCCTGAATATGGGGTGTTGAGCAGGCGAATGGGTTGATACAATACTTCAGGAGCAATCCAACGGCCCAGAATAAACGGATCGAGCACCGAAGCAACGTGGAGTTTCCTGAAATCACAGTATGCCAAGGCGCCACGTGGAATTTCACTGCACTCAAGTTCATCAACGTGACATGGATTTCAGCATACAACTCCATTTGGAGTAGAATGTTTCAAAAAGTGCTTAATATGAGCGTCTTGGAAGAGCTGAATTTACATTCCTTAATGGACCTGTCTAAAACCGTGGTTTCCTGCAATATTCCCATCTATCCAATCGGTTCGAATTTTCTAATTGTTCTCGTGGTAGCTGGGTATACAATACGGAATTTATATCCGGCAAACATCCTAACTTTATTTCATTTCCTTGAATAACATGCCAATCAGAGTATTTCAATATTTCACAGCAGGATACTGGAGAGAGTCGACGATTGTGAATTGGCTCGGGTCAAATTCGCCTCTGAAATTTTTCTACACTTTCCATGCTGAATCAAAGCTCCGGCTGCCTCTGTCTTCCATTTCTCCTGTCATGGAACTTGTTTTGAGTTTCAAAGACTCCATTGATGAATCCGATGAATCCGAAAGATCTGGCAATCTCTTTTACGAGATTCGCATAGATTCGCCGGAAGAACCGTACATAGCAATGAGGAATGTCATATCATCAGAGCAGACGTTCTTCCTCTCGGACGGAAGGAGATATATGCTGAGTCGTTCTTTCAAGCACTACAATTTCTTGCCTTCAGGAAGTAAGTGCAATGGGAATGAGAACTACGAATACAAGAAGGTAATTCCAGCCCAACCCTATCATCTCTCCCATCCCCTATCATTTCTCTAAAGGTTATCAAATATATATGACTCGATGACCAACCGTGCGCGGAAATGACATTAACGGAGAAGTTGACGAAGGAAGCCCCATGCATCAAGTCGTCAGTGTTACCGATCAAACTCGACCAGGTAGCAATGATGCGCCAGTGCAACATTTCCAGTGACGAAAGAGATTTAATAAAC